ACATGGGCTCGCCCGCCCACTGCTCGCCGAAGCCACCGTAGGAAGGTCGCATCAGGTCCTTGCAGCCGTCCGATCGGGACCTCTCCACCACCTTCTCGTCGAGAAGGACACAGATGGAGCCGTTCTCGCCGATCCGGTACGACACCTCCCGAGGGTCAACCCACAGGGTCAGTTCGCTGGGGAACAGAGACCGTAGGAAGACCCGGTCCAGCCCACAGCTGTCGCCCGCCGCCGCCACCAATGGGTCCATCTGGCCGTTGATCCTGATGCAACGGTAGCCGGAGCCCTTGAACGACTTCTCCGGGAACCAGTGGTTATGGTAGTGATCCCTCATCACCACGGCCAGCGTGTCGCGGAACCGCAGCAAGTCACGGTCGGTCAGACTTCCGGGGCTGCTCATTCGCAAGAGGTTCACGATGAAGTCGGACGCCGCGAACACTTCGGACTTCATATCTGCAACTTTGAATTGAGGACAGCTTCAGGTCACGTCTCAGATACTCCGCGAGGCTTGGGAGAACCGAATGTTGATATGATCGCTTCTTAGAGGTTTGGTGACTGGACTAGTGACAGGGTGGCACCTACGGATCGATCAACGACTGCAGTGTGTGCGTGCCTTCAACCCAATCGTTTTCTTTCAGCCTCAACAGTGCACCGTTCAACATTCACACGGTGCGCACAGCCTTTGTCACGGAGACAGTGGGGAACAGACACACTCCCACACCACCACCCTCTTCGCCAATCTCTCTCACACTGTGGCGACTTTCCACTCGCCAGCAAGGTCATTCTGTGTGTCCCGCTGACGTCACGAACACGGCACTGGCCGACCAATCAACGACGGCGAGCGCGGATGGTGAGGTTTCACGTAGGCCGGCCCAATAATAACATTGGGTGCGGGGTCGTCTCCTCAGCCGTTTCATCGGGGCGGGTATAGGTAGTAGGTAGTGGGGGTCCGGGCATTGAAATGGAGTGGGGCTTATATAGCTATAGGGATATAGCTATATAGCTATATAGTGCTATAGCTATAGGGCTACAGGGGGGGGCTTTTTACCCCAAAATTACAGGAAATCTTATATGTGCTCACAACAATTTGTCCTTCGCGTGCTCAGAAAAACATGGAGAAACAGTATTTTCAAACAACTAAGAGCCCAGGTGTATCTTCAGCTATTCCACGCAACTTTTCGTCTTCCCTACCCCCTGTGACTTGCTTGCTCTGACTGGCGTTGAGATGGGGGTGGGAACCTAACTGGGAGGGTTAGCCTCGCCCCCCCCCCCCCTAGATGGCACGTTAGAGTAAGCCTTAATATATACTCCATATCAGACACAACGTTTTAAGCCGCTTCGGGTTTCTGGCCCGGGTTTTGGGCCATTCTTGAAAGCTTTTGCGGGGTAATAAGTGTCTTGATAAGGAGAAACGATGGATTTGCTGGCGGTACAAACATTTCAACTTTCTGAGAATCGGGACTGCATCACCACGCACCAATTCTAAAAATCAAACTTCTCTTCGGATCTTTCCTGGCAGGGACACAAGACAGGACCGACCCCTATAGGACACCAGTAAACCAGATTGCACGAAGTATTAACAATTTATACGGAGACATCTCACCGAAAGTCTGAGGAAAAAACTGCTATGACAGCCGTCGACGGGTTATGAACCTCTTGATAAATGAAGACATCAGCTCAGACAGAATCTTCAAATAAAAAGTGCAGCACTCTGAATTCCAGCAATACTCAAACAGGTTACATACAGCATAATTCAGCCACATATTCCACACACATATTTTCTGATGAACAGACCACATTGACAAATTGATATAAGTGACAGTTGGATATGCTGCTGTGGAAAACTGGAGCTCCTATTCCTCCCAAGTAACGCAAATTTATCATGAAAAAATACCTGATTTTTACATACATTTCTCCCGATCTAGTCAGCAAACCAATCAAACCACAGATGGCACTGCATTTTCGAGTTGAAAACAGGACAGAAGCATGTTTTGCTGGTTGAAAGCACACCACACAGCTTGTACATACAATTTCCCGTCTGAGAAAACGAGAATGGTTGACCCAATGTCAACACAATAGTTTCTGTCTACCTAGTCAGACAATCAATTCATGAGTTTAACACCAGTGTTCGGTATCGTTCGATCGCTCGTCAGCACGCATCCGTCGGCTCATGCTATATTTTTTGGTTTGAATTTCGGGCCAGGAAGAGGACATACGCGTCCTCTCCCTGGCGGCGCTCGCGAGACAACTGCCCGGTTACAGGGCGGCGCGGCCCCGCACAGAACACGGCATATGTGGCGCAGTTTTCTGGCTGGCCGTAGGATCGGTGTCGCAGGGACGGTAAACTAAACAAAACATAAATCTAAAGGGAAACTCGACACGGGGCCGAGAAATGGAGATAAAACAGAAGCTCAGAGACGGGACAGCAAAGCCGACATTTCACAACAAAGGGGAACCGTGTGAAGGCAGATTTGTACGGAACAACCAGCTTCAAATTAAGCATGCTGTTTCAACTTATCCATTTCCCAGTGTTTGTCAGAACAAAGAACGTTTCGTCTTCAGAATTATTTGCTCACTCACTTTCATACCTCAAATGAAGATTTGGTAAGATCTGGAGTAGCTGGTGCGATCACCAGTCATTGACAAATGGCTGGTATGCATATGAGATTTCAAAGCTTCAGCGGTCATGACATCTCGGGTGATGCGTGACAAGTACTTAACTCTTGCACTACGTCTTGTGAATATTGGGGAGCTCCATATTTATGTATAAGGCACTATCGGTGCAAGAGGCGTCACACACTGTGACTAAAACGCGGCGCCGTCTAATGAAGTATTCATGGTAGCTATCTTAGCGCGTCAGAAATAAAACAATGGATACGGAGTGGTAGGCTCGTGCTTAAAACATGATGCACACTGTACGTGTCATCGCCCAATCCATCACCAACGTGGTGAAATCCTTACAAGCTACACATGATGGCGCCAGGAATCATGCTGACTAACAGCGCGGTGCTTGGTAACGTGGCTGGTTACATTTCCCTGCATTTGACGAAGCGAAACAAATCGCAGGCCTCACACTGAGGTTAGCCGCTGCCCAAGGTGACCCACGGGCCCCAGAACTACGCAGCGTCCGTTTTAAATTGATTTCTGGGAAAACAAGTTGACAACTGGCAGGCCCACGGCGCTGACAACACCAATGCTGGCTCTGACGCAAGCTGCTGTACTCGCCACCTACACACTGCGCCCGGCAGTGACGCAGTAGCTGACATCGACACTGCCACGGCCGTACGCAGCCAGATCGTAAACAAGCGGAAATTTCCGCGCACGGCTACCGGGCACGGCGCAGTCCTCATACGATTGGAGGCGGCTCGTTTTCCGTTAAGTGGTGCCAAGACACTCTTTAATCCTGCTCCTTGAGCGGTGGCGCGTGGTTGTCATTGGGGCTCCGTGACACGCTCAGTTACTGAGGCTATATGGCGTCGCCTGCCTCTCACCCTGGCAGAAAGGGCGAGCACTGCGAGAAATTGAACCCCCTACTTCTGGTTTCCCAGATGCGCAGCCTAACCACGGAACTGCTGGTAATCAGTCCATGGTGGAACAAGGTATCGTATTTTGGTTTAAAGGGGCGCGTCGACTGCAGCGTTCATCTGGCAATCCGTGATGACGTATGGTTCTATGACGCTATGCGGAAGCAGATTCTGCCCATCCCCTCCCCTGCGTGTATCTCGAAAATCTTCGGTCTAACTTACTACGCAAAACGGCGACCCATTCGCCATAATATGTCCAAGGGAGACAAATCAGAGCGTTTTGAAATTGGAGCAACGGGGAACTACACATTTTGGCGACGTCTTAGCTTAGCCATTACTGCCACACATATGAGCGATTTGTGTGCAAATAACGTAGTTAAATAGGTACGGCACACATTCCTATTCTGTATGTGAAATATCTTTACAACAGTAAATCAGTAAGCATTCTGGCCGTACAGAAGCAACTTCTTTGAACAGTAGTTTTGAATTACTTTTCCGGTAAAACTGCATGGCTTGAAATACATATTTTTATATTATATATATATATATATATATATATATATATATATATATATATATATATATATATATGCTACGGTCGTGCGTAGAATCAAGCGTGGAGGTATAACTGAGTTTTGTTTTTTGTTGAAAACCTAGCTCAGCCCACTGCCGGCGCGTGGGTGCAAGAATCTAGTGGTGTAAAACGTCGCGCATTTTTGAATGTTTATTTTTGCGTGTCTTCTCATACCACCGTTACGCGCATGTCTTAAAATGAAACTGGGCCACTGTTTTCATTGAACAGTCCTACACGACCAAGGCGCGCCTCTGATTTTCATTTTTTCCCCTCAAATATTTCGGATACACAACGGGCGCAAATAGAATACCTTCGAACCACGCTTCTCGCGAGGTTCGATCGCGGGGTCGATGTGTTGCTCATCAAAAGTGTTGCACAACACGTAAAAAAAGACCTAATACATCACTAAGTTTCGAAGACCTGCAACAAGCCTTTTGGAAATGGCGACGGAAAATATGGCGGAGGAGGGACGAAACCCGCTCTCGCCGGAGATGACATTGGCATGGATAGCGGAGGCCTAATAAACGTCATTGTACATATATATATATATATATAATATATATATATATAATATATATATATATATATATATATATATTTATAATATATATAATTTGCGTGTGTGCGTCTGCGTGTGCGTGTGCGCGTGTGCGTGGGGTGGGGCGCGTGTGCAAGTGCTTGCGTGGCGTGCGTGCGTGCGTGTGTGCGCGTTATTCAGTCAGCACCACCACCAGTACCACGCATTGACACTAGCGCTGACATCACGAAATGCTTCCGACGTAACCAATGTCAGTAATCAGCCTAACCCTGAAAACCTGTGCTAACCATGAGATAATCAGTATATTATATATATATATATTATATATATATATATATATATATATATATATATATAACACAACAACAACAGTACAGTAGAGTGGTGACTCAAAACTAGGTGGACCGACACCGTTTTGGTTCCGCAACTGGGGAGGATGGGAGGCTCCAATTCGCATATATTGTTGGTACATACAGCCGTACCACCAGGCAAACATGGAGCAGAAGCGCTGGGAGTTTCTGTGCGGAGTGTGAAGCGCACATGCGTGCAGAACATGGTTCTCAACTGGCGTGTCCGAGTTCAGCAGTAGTACTCCCTGCCAGAGGATGAATCGGCCGAGCATGCGCTGGCCCAAGCCAGCACCAGTTTCACGCGCCACTAAAATTTCGCGCCGCAGAGCGCGATTACAAGTACCGCGTCGGCTGTCACCGGCGTGTTCAGCACTTGCCGGGCATCAGCCGCAGCCCATCGGGCCGGCCAACTGCGCAGCAGACGGGAGCCGCCGGCACAGCTGCAGGCGGCCATTGAGCGCGCGGAATCCGGCCGGGCGACGCCAGCAGCCCGGCCCGGCGTCGCGCCACCAGACAATGGCGGCCTGGCTGAATTCCGGCTGCAGGGCAGGATGCGATGGGGCCTGGCGCGCTGGGGGACGCCGAAGCCCCGCCCGCTACGCGCAATTACCGACCGGATAAACAGCTGGGCGCGGAAAAAAACGCTGGCTGGCGGTCGACCCGTGGCGCAGGTTGGACACGAATGCCCTTGAAGCTGGCAGCACTCTTAGGTGGCGGAGCTGGTGGGCATGGTGATTGTTAAGGCAAAGTGGACGTCACGCCTCAGCCTT